GTCTGCAACAGAATATTACTAAAATTATCGCATGAATGAGTCGCACAGGATATTCTCTAGCGACGAGTACCTGGATCAATGTGAAAGTAATTTTCCCACAACTATAATGTGTGTATTTTGAAATCCCATTCATTAAAATGAATCACTCATTCATAAATAAAATTTTATGAAATATTATATTTTTTGTAGCTATTTTTGGTAACAGTAATCCAATAGTTATATAATATAATTACATTTTAATCAAAAAACTTTGTCATCATAAAAAGTAAGATTTTGAATAATTGCATAAAAATTTATTTTAATTTTTGATTTATTACTCTGTTACGTAATAATTATTTAAATATAAACTAAAATATTTATTTAATATCTATCTGCTTTAAATAAATTATCGTTATATTAAAGTCATATAATAATGAATCATGGAAAATTTTATTAAATTTTAAAATACTGTAACTTTAAACAAAACTAAATTACAATATTGTAATAAAAAGTTATTTTATAATTCATTTGTAAATAAATTATCATACAATGGGAATATATTTGCTGTACAGTATACCTTTTATTGTAAGCAATTTTATTTTAATGGATAGATTGAATAAAAATTATTGTTTAAAGATGTAATATAAATACATATTTTCGATAATAAACACTTATAAAAGATAACTAAATTTAGATTATGTGATATGCTTTGTTTTACTAACTATTACATATGATACCCTTGTATTTTACCATTAGATTCTCTCTCTCTCTCTCTCTTTCTCTCTCTCTCTCTCTCTCTCTCTCTCCAATTTCTATCAGCTTTTAGACATAAAACATGAATTTCCTTTTTAGTCAAAAAAATATAATATTAAATATATTCTACATTTGTATGTGTATATATAAAATACAACCTAATATATATAACAGAATATTCTGTTTATTCATATATTTATTATCGTAGGTCTTATAAAACAACTTGAATACCGGAGGTTATATATAGGTCATTTGAGAGTGTAGATAACACGTTTGGAATATGTGTTATGTATATTTATTATAAGAATAAATAAGATTATCTGGTAACAAAGTATATATTCTTACGCACAGAATATTCTATATATGCTATTTGTATAAACCATAGTAATATAAGATATATGTGTGTACACAGAATATTCCGCATTAAATACAGTATGCATTATATAAATATAGTAACAATCGATACCATAGTGTACTCCATATATTACACAATGAACTGACTATACGGATGATTATGCATAAAATGTTTTTGTTTGAAAATTTTTTCTGTCGTAGATTTACTCCGCAGAGACTTTGCATTTTTAATATTATTTACTTTTGTTGTGTATGTGTGACAAAAATGCATGCACGACAGTATCATATCGTATGTAATAAATGAATGACAAAAATTTTGTGACACTATTTGCTGATCGACAAAATAAATTAAAGTTTTTTAAACAAAATATTTGTGGGTTTTTCTTGCAAAATGTGGACTAAATTGTAATTTTCTAGGAAATGTTTATCACTTTTAGTTTCATTGAAACTTATATTATATGTCGTTTATATACAGAATATTCTTAGAAAATAACATTAATATTAATGAATGCTAACTTATATTATATAACTTACTGTTTAATGTATTACAATATATTGCAAACTAATAAATACGTGAAACATTTTAACCTAATATATAAAAATACTGTGTTTAATATAATATTCAGTTTATATGATTATTTAATCGTAAATAAAGCGTCACTTTTTTCGTAAAGTCTCTCTCTCTCTCTCTCTCTCTAACGTCAATGAATAAGAAAAGAGATATCAATCCCTCTCTTACTATACAAACAAACTGATGACACCGTCATCGCAGAGATGATGTCCTACCTCTCCAGAGATAAGACCTACTTTCCCCCTTAAATGTATGAATCCGTGAGCTATGACTATCTCTCATTCAAACATATCATTCCACTTGTATACCAATGCTCTCTCTCTCTCTCTCTCTCTCTATGTATTGAAAATAAAATCTAAAAATAAATTTATAAATATATCTTAAAAGATTATATTCACTCTTGAAAATTCAGTCAAATTTAATGCTCCAAATATATAGTAGACATGTAATATGCATATCAAGAATATTCTCTGCTATAATATTCTTATATATATATGTATTATAGGAATCTTAAACTTATTTTTATGTTGTTTAATAGTTTATGATATTTTATAAAACGTTGTTTTTTATACAATATTTTACTGAATAAAGTTTTAAACATTTGCATTTAGTCTATAATTGATTGAAAGCAAAACCTTATAAATAGTGCATCATATTTTTGAGTGCAGTGAATGTACAGAATATTCTGTACTACAAAATTATATCATTTATTTTAAGAAATGTATGCAAAGATTGTGATTATAATAAATAATTCATACATTTTTAAGAAGTATGAGAATTACAAGTGTAGGGAAGAGAGAGAGAGAGAGAGAGAGAGAGAGAGAGAGAGAGATGACGTTCATCAGTGGAAAGGGAGTTCAAGATAAAGTACTTGAGAGCTAAAGATTTTTATTATATTTGTCTCAAAAAAAAATAAATTTCAAGACTAGAGATTTCCCAAAACAATATATCAAATGTTTATTAAATATGAGTCCAAAAATTATAAATTATTTCCATTTTTGCTCTGAATTCATAAAATAAGAAGTTTCGCAATACGAAATTATTAATAACCTAAGTAACCTAGATGATCTACAAAAATAATGTAAAATATAAATCATATTTATTCTACGTCTTAAAATATTTATTTATATTTTCAGGTTTTATTTGATTATTTTTTATATCATTTGAAAAACATACCAAAACCAGTGGTTACATAATACAGGGGTTTATATTGTTTTAGATTTTATTTGTCAGTCCAACGATAATAAAAGTTTTTTTAACTTTTAAAAACAAGATTATCAGTGAATTTGTTATTATATTTTTATCTATAAATGTATGTGGTGGCTACAAAATAAATGATATATATTTTTACAGCACTTTTACAGTACAGAATATTCTTAATGCCTTTTCACTGGTTTTATACACCACTATAAACTTGAATTGACGTATAAGTAGGCGAAATATTTTTGTGAAGGAAAACTATATCTCTTAAATTCATATGATTTATATTTTTCTAGTACTCTCTCAGCTCTCTCTCTCTCTCTCTCTCTCTCTCTCTCTCTCGTCTGTTATCTTTCTCTTTTGAAATACAAAATAAAAAGATGAGTTAAAAAAGAATAGCGAATTGTATTGGAAATGCAATTTAATTCTGGAATCGATTTTAAATCCTATTTAATACGAGTTTTGCTGATATGTTGTAAGTCCAGAGAAATTTCATTACAAATATTACTTCAGTGGTGTGTGTGTGTGTGTGTGAGGGAGAGAGAGAGAGAGGGAGAGAGTAACACTATACTTATAAATGGTAATATATTTATTTGGTAATTATACTTTACGATTAATTTGATAAATATTAAAACTGTAACAATATTTTTCAAATTTTATTTTATTAATAAACATTTTAACATACATGTAATTTGTCAACGGCGAACAACCTATACTCTGAACTCTGTACTATAAAACCAAAACTTTTGCTTATATTATGTATACTTTTAGAAAAGAAAGCCATTTAAATACCATTGCGATTACCAGGGAATAGGCTTATATTGTGTATAATTTATGATATTTCTCATAATAATGCTGCATTTTATAAGCCTAGAGATTTACATTAGATTTAATGTAATGATATCCTTAAGTCCACATAATATTAGTTTTGTGTAGGCTTTATATGTATTGTAATAACACTCGAGGGCTGACTGTGTTATTATAATTGTATTTTTAGAAACAAATAGAAATAGTTTTAATACATATTTTATCCCCGTAAGTTATGTATTTGTATTATAAAGTATAATGCTATTGTCATGCATACAAATTATACGTAGCGTTCTAGTTATTAAAATATTTAGCTAGCTTAATCCTATTGTTTAATGCTTAGTAATAATACTCTTTAATTTATGCAAACTCTAGACACGTCTTGAAATTATATTAAATAATGAATATTTTCAAGTCATATGAATATTTTTACACAAAATTTCCAGATTTCGTGAGAATTATACCTCTATTTCGCTGATTGAGTTGTTTTTTGGTGAAAATCAGGTCTAATAGTTGCCCGAAAATTAACGTATATTTATGTGCAAAACACTAACAATTCATTCATTTGCTATTCTCAGCACAAAATACAGTCTTATTTAATGTAATTCTCAAATAATTATTCCGTGAAAAAATAACTTGTATTCAATTCTGGTGTTCTAATAATCACCAGTACTTAACATTTTATACTTGCGGTTACATTAAATGTTAAATGTACACATACAACAAATAATCACGTGATTGAAAAAATGGTAATTTAAATCCGTGCCGTAAATTCTAATCGCTCAAATTTTCACAGAATATTCTGTGAATACTTAACACAAATAAATAAACTGCTAACAAATCAAATGCTAGGCATATATTATAGTTTCATAAACACATCGAATATTCTGTGAATTCTCTCAATACTATTGCCTATAATTCGGTCGCAAAACTAAACACATATTTTTCAAACACACAGAATATTCTGTGAATTCTTTATACAATAGTATATTCCTATAATTAAATCAAATACTAAACCTTATTATCTGTTTGTCCAATAGATAACAACGTTAGTCAATGCCCGGGATAAGCCAATTAAGACGGATAAGCAGCTCCGGGCGATCGTACGGGTGGGCCAGTCGGTAAACCTGTCGGTCGAGCGATTCGTAGCCGTGGGCGAGGCCCTGGCCGATGACAACCCGGAGTGTAGGGCCGAGATGTGCGACGCCTGTAAGGACGCCAGGGCTGCCGGCACTCTCATCGAGCAACTGTGCGACAGCACCATTAGCCACGACGAGGGTGTGGGCATTGGGGGCATCCCGAGCACCGGTACTCAGCTGAGGAGCTACTCGGACAAGTCGTGTATGGTTAGGGCAGCCCGGGCTCTGTTGTCGTCAGTTACCCGGGTATTACTGATCGCCGATACAGTGGTCGTCAAGCAATTGATATCGTCTAAGGATAGGGTGAGTGGAGTAATACAGTCTAGTGTCGATAAATTATGATTATTTTATAAATACATTTAAATTGTGTGCTTTATTCTCATTAAATTTAATAAACCTAGATATAATTAACTATTTTGTTAATCAAGAATACGAAATAATAGGTTATATATATATAAAGTTATTAATGTTATACAATTCCATTGTATTATACTATACTGTATTTATTTAATATTTAAAAATATATAATTATAGTTAAAACAAACTGTAAATATAAAGTTATGAAAAATATATAACATGTAAAAAGTAATGGAGAATCTTAGATTGGGAAATGAAGTTATAATTTATTTATTTTTAACTAATTGAAACAATTTATTATTTTATAATATCTCATATTAACATGAAAAATATTCATATAACATATTATTAAATTAAATTTTAAATATACTTCATTTTAATTCAAATACTTTATAATATACCCTTTCCTTGTTGCATTGTTTTCAATTTAAATAGATGATTTTTATTCTAATGGTTAATAATATATGTAATAAAAAATTATTCTAGTAATAATTATATGTACAGCTATTTACAGTATATTGAATATAGCAAGCTAGAATTAATTTCTAACGTCATGAAAGTTTTTCTAGTTTTGATAATTTTGCTATCGATTAGGAATTGTGTGTCATTTGAGTATTTGCACATTTTTTATAAGACCTTTTTCATCCGATTCATATAACTTTGAATCCTTAATGTCCCGGCTATTAGTGGCACCGGGAGTGCGAGTGTAGTGTAGTGTTTGCGTTCACATCCAATCTCTATCAGTGGAGACATTAACGCATAGAATAGGTTTTGTGAACACATTTGTCGCTGTTTTTTATGTGTCTGTTTGGCCACTGCCTGTCAGTGCTCTCTAATGTGATTTAAATGACACAATTTGGTGGACCTATTTAGCCAGGCTAATTATGATAGATGCACTCAGTCGTAATTATGGACTGGAACAATTTAGTTATAATAATAACAATTTAATGATCTTATACAATTTATTGAGTACGTAAACCATAAGTTACCAATATTTGTTTTGCACTAATTGTTTTAGGCAAGTTCAGTTCATTCCTACAGTTACTATGATAATAATTGTACACTAATATTTAAATATAGTTAAATATACAATTATTTTGTATAATTTATCATGTTCAAATACAAATTTATATGTGTATTCTATACCAAAGCCGAAAATTCTGTCCTAAAATAGCCAAAAATCTGAAACCTAGTAATCAATTATAAATCAATAACAATATGAGCTAATCATATGTGAGTGAGTGAGTGAGTTAGAGAGAGAGAGAGAGAGAGAGAGAGAGAGAGAGAGAGCTAACCAAATCTCGTCTATCGAAATAAGCAAAAGCAAAATAATAAAACAAAAGTCTTTTGCCATCAAATAATAATAATGTAATTAATTTAATGGATGAGTTTACTAGCGAACGGGCATCGGTATGGGAAAGTTGACTACCACTCAGATTACTTAAGTTATTAGTTAAAGAGAGAGAGATAGAGAGGGACATCATTATTATTACATAAATTGTGCCAGGCACCAAATACTTAAAAGGGAAAGCCGACTAAATAATACATTGTAAACTGAGAGCATTTACGCATAATGTGAATAGGTTTTTAATTAATTAGTATTTGCGATCAATATATAGGCAAATATATTGTATATCCGCCAGACATAACATGATGGGCTACATGTAATTCAATTTGTCTGCACAAACATAATGCAAACATGGTCAATTTAATCTGTACAGTGTGTATATATTGCAGAATATTCTGTCTGTTTTTGTGTTTATTCTGTGCGTCTAATCATAATAGCAGTGCTCACTGTATATGAAACACACGAGAAATATGATTCCGAATCAACATAACGGACATTGGGATTGTATTTCAATATTGACTTTTGGTTTATAATACAATGTTATAGATGTAAAAATGTGCTCGATCATTGCTCATCCATTCAGCATCATGTATTGGAATAAATAAAAAAATATTTGACATATTAAGCCAAATGCAAAAACTTTTACTGTAATACTTAACTAGCGTATGAATTATTGTTATTGCCATAAACTTAAGCAACAACATCAGGGTCCTTGGCGAGTATACTGCACACACATATATCCAATTGTGGATTACCTGTCCCTCTCAAGCCAATTGCGCCATAATTCATATATTATGAGATTATTGTGTGTATGGACTCCAGTATATCTCTATTGAGTCCCCTAATGCCTGTCCCCTCGCGCTCTCAAAGTCTTTTTCTCAATATATTTATATTTCTGAGTGATTTTGAGTGCAATTCATATGTTTTGAGTGTTGGCTATATTTCTATAGGATATGTGTGTGTAATATATTTCATGTTTAATATTTCCGATTCATATCTATAACTCTTAAGTTCTCAATATATAATACATAACTATCTATGAGTTTATGGTCCATAAGCACCATCAAAATCCTTTTGATTCATTTGATTGAATATTCGTGAAGTATTGAATTGTGTACAGAATATTCCGTACAATATATACTCGACATCGCAAAATATATTTAACTAGTAATACGTATTGAAAACTAATACAAGGATTTTAGAAATAACCCTATATTATCATAAAATATACTAGGTTCTTATGATATTTGTTTAAAAAATTGTTTAGCATTTAGATTATCATTGATTATACTATTGGTTAATACGGTTGAATGCATTCACAGAATATTCCATCAAAATATAATATATTTTTTCGAATAGGAATCGAAATTCTGTGCAATCGATTCAATCGTTTTCTTTATTGACAATACATTTCAAAAAAGTTTATTTTTCTTTTGCCTGAACGTCGAGACGGCTGTGTATTGATGGCTCCCTTTCCCAAACATGCCATACCATTAGTCGAGTACAACAAATGAGATACAATGCACTCTCCCGATCGCTATACATACCGATCCCTATAATTTTAATACATCCCTACAATCGACTTATTTATTTAATGAGTGCCGAAAAAATTATTATCTTTTTTCGTATCGTTTTCTTTTTTCTCTCTTTTGATTTCCAATAGAAATCAATGTATAAAAAGTTTGTATTCCGAGAGAGAGAGAAAGAGAGAGAGAGAGAGAGAGAGAGCACATAAAAATGTTTAGGAATTCTTCACTCGACTTCACAACTCAATCGCTTATAAAATATCAAGAATTTTGAGGCAAAACCAATATTTTTTGCTAATACTCTTATTTCTCTCTCTCTCTCTCTCTCTCTCTCTCTCTCACTCACTCTCTCTACTTCCCTTATAATATAAGGCTTATATACTCACTCACTCTCTCGTTTTAACAAGTAGTCTGTGAAACGATCCATAAAACGCCTATTAATTTAACTAAAATAACCACAAAATCGATTTTTGTTAGGCAACACCTAATAAGAATCAAATTAATTTTATGAAATAATATTTTAAATCAAACACAGAATTAAGAAAAAGAAATATAATGTAAAAATTGTTTTAATCATAAAGTCTTTGCGTTTGTAAGGTTAAACCAAAATAGTTATAATACACAAAACCTTTTAAGTAAATTTATTTATTATATATTTATTACAGTTTTAATTAAATTTAATAAATTATCAAATAATCGGAAAAATGATTTATATAATTAAAAAATTATTTTATTCAAACAAGAATATTCTTAATGTAATTCATTAGTGAAATATATTTTCATATCTTATAACATCATAAGCCCTGATGATGGTCACAGTGATGACCGAAAACGTTAGGCAATTATTTTAATTTTATTTTTAAGTCATTTTCACTGATACTACGAATAAATATTGAAAACCTAAACTTTAAAGAATATTCTTTAATGAATTTGATTTTATATTAAACACAGTATATAATATTTATCGAAAAGCCCAAAATGTTTTAAAAACATGTCGAGTACCAGGCACACACACAAAATAAAAAATAAATATTGATTTTGAGGCATTGAAAAAACAAATAAATATAAGAAAAATTCATTTCTCATTCAATATCGAAAAGCCCAAAATGTTTTAAAAACATGTCGAGTACCAGGCACACACACAAAATAAAAAATAAATATTGATTTTGAGGCATTGAAAAAACAAATAAATATAAGAAAAATTCATTTCTCATTCAATTTATATCCCTTATAGTCGGGTGAGTTTGAAAAAAGCCCTGAAGTCGAGTTCACAGAAAAAAATTCAATTTTTATTTTCCATCACTTTTGCACACAATTCTCTATTCCACTGATTATTATCATTGAAAATATAAAATACAAAGAGAATAGAGAATTCTTTATTGAATCTCAATCTCTAATATCTCTTTTGAAACCGACAATTGATATAAATTTTAGATATAGTGTGCGAGTAATACCCCTTTCCGTTAAAGTGTATATCCCTTTCAATAGAAAATATAATACGCTTTCTTATAGTGGACTCTCTCTCTCTCTCTCTCTCTCACACACACACACACACACACACATGAATAGTATATGTGTTTTAAAGGTTTAACATTTTTTCACAGAAAATAAAATCTTTTTATATTTCGTATCACTAATGCTCTTCCTCACATAAAATGATTTTTTATCTGAGATTTTCTATGTGTGTTGAGCACCAGTTCCCCACAAAATACATTACCCTTCAATTCACAATACATTTTACATCGACTTTTACTTTTGTTTAGTACATTATTCAATATACATTAATTTTCATTGCAATGTATGGTATTTCTATGAGGTCTACCCTGGTATTTGATAATAAAATAGACAAATAATTTAACATTTTAAAATTCTTTGATTAATAAACCTAATTTTTATTTTTAAAAAATATATGTAATAATTAGAATAGTAATTAATTAAAAAATATTATAATTATTTTCTAATTCTATATATTGAATTCATTAATTAAATCAAAATAAGCTCTATTAATAAACTGGCTATCATTATATATTGGAGTGAAAATGTATGCGGTACATTACTCTTGTTTGAAAGGTTATTTTTAGTAAATATCCCAAAAAATAAGCCAATAAGCATGCAAATAATTAATGATCAAATGCACTTATAGTACTACTTATGTAATATACGGTCTGAAACATAAAAATTTTGTTTTTATATTAAAGTTAGTAAATGATCAGTGAAATCAAAATCAGAGAGAGAGAGAGAGAGAGAGAGAGAGAGAGAGACTGGTAGTAGTGATTGAGTCGATGGTGGACTCCATTGAAGCGTCCATTGAATCGCATAGTAATTGCATTTTTATTCGCAGAAAATCGAGACTTATTTTCGTCAGACATGTCGTAATACTGTTCAATCAATTGTCGACAGAAATTGAAGCGAATATTTCTATACAATAGACGAGACATTTGGGCTAAAAGACAGACACATAAAGAAAATGAGACATAAAATTCAAGCAATTTATAGACCCTTTCGCACAGATTTATTGAGAATAAAGCCATAAAAATGTTGTAATAATATATAAACAAGAATATTCTGTACAGAATTTTGATGTATATATATATCATGGATAAATCTTATTGAGTTTATTAGACTATAAGCTAGATGTAATACTTATAAGTTATAACATAATGATAATAGTTTTATAAACTTTTAATTAACTTGGCCATTATTTGTCATTAAATTAGGTATCGATTAGTTTGAATCGTTTGGAAAATGTGGCAAATTTTACGGAATTTGTAAAAGCATTCTCACAGTTTGGCACTGAAATGGTTGAGCTGGCTCACCTCACCGGGGACAGACAAAATGTATGTTTTTACTTAAAAAATTAATATAATATTTAAAAACTAACATGCACTTGCTCCAATCAATTAAAATTAGTTTGTGTTTTAAAAATAATTTTATAGGTATTATTATTTTACAGTACTAGAATTCTTAATATACTAAATAATCATTGTTTAATATAACTTATATACATTTAAAACATTTAAGATTATTTATCAAAATTACATTAAAGTGTATTTAATTACAATTTATATAATAATTATTATTGGTTGAGATTGGTAGTGCAGTTAACGTATGTAATAATCTAATGTTAAATTTTAAAAATTATCATTCACATACCATTCAAATCATTTCACAATTATTATATAAAACTTTATTTTTAATTAAAATTTAATTGCAGTTCATTAAATACAACATGAAAACCGTAAATGACTAAAAAATCTAAATATTTGCCATAATTTTATAAATACCATAGGATTTAAAGGACGAGCGAAGGCGTGCCCAGATGTCCTGTGCCCGACAGATCCTGGAGCGGTCGACCATGATGCTTTTGACCTCGTCCAAAGCCTGTCTACGGCACCCGGACTGCGACACCGCCCGCGAGAATCGGGACACCGTTTTCCTGCAGATGCGTCGCGCCATGGATTTGATACATATGGTGGTGAAGGACGGTGTGATACCCCGGTTGGCCGCCTCGGCAGCCGTATACGAGTCCAACGCCGGTGTGTCTCGCAAACAGGTCAGGCATGTGTCCAGATATGAGGCCAGGTATCAGACGCCCGATTGGAAGTTAGAGGAATGGGATGAGTGTATCACCGCTTATAACGCCGTCAGACGCTTCCATGTGAGTAGTCATTGGAAAGATATTTTTGAAAATTAAAAGATTTAGTATGTAGTATGTAGTATGCCACTATTATTATTAGTTAATACTATTTTATTGTAAATTTTTCCAAAATAATTACTGGCAATTATAAAATATCTCTAAAATATCACTTATAGATTTAAAATATGATTTGACTTTATGTTTGCTTCCCATAAATAAAATCTACCAAATTTCAGTATAATACAACTGCACTAATGCACACACTTTTACAGTTTGTCTCAACTAATGCAATCAATTCCAATACTATTTATTTAATAAGTTAAGACCATATTATAGCTGACGTATGCCTTAACACAATAATCTAACACAAAGTTTACACATTGTTTTCGCAATAACTCCACTCAAAAGGATTTTGATGGTGCTTATGGACCATAAACTCATAGATAGTTATGTATTATATATTGAGAACTTAAGAGTTATAGATATGAATCGGAAATATTAAACATGAAATATATTACACACACATATCTTATAGAAATATAGCCAACACTCAAAACATATGAATTGCACTCAAAATCACTCAGAAATATAAATATATTGAGAGAAGACTTTGAGAGCGCGAGGGGACAGGCATTTGGGGACTCAATAGAGATATACTGGAGTCCATACACACAATAATCTCATAATATATGAATTATGGCGCAATTGGCTCGCGAGGTAATCCACAATTGGATATATGTATGTGTAGTATACTCGCCAAGGACCCTGATGTTATTGGGTAAGTTTATGGCAATAACAATAATTCATACGCTAGTTAAGTATTATAGTAAAAGTTTTTGCATTTGGCTTAATATGTCAAATATTTTTTTATTTATTCCAATACATGATGCTAAATGGATGAGCAATGATCGAGCACATTTTTACATCTATAACATTGTATTATAAACCAAAAGTCAATATTGAAATACAATCCCAATGTCCGTTATGTTGATTCGGAATCATATTTCTCGTGTGTTTCA